AAACTTCTTTATTGTGCAAAACTTAAATCTTAATCGTCTTTTTAGCACTTTTAGGTTGTCTTTTTCTGGCATTTAACACTTATATGTAGATCTTATAGTAATGAATAGTAAAATATTCTCTTCTAAGTGAAAGTGAAGTTGTTAGTGAAACGTTACGTTTTCAAAAAGTACTTTAAAGTGTATAAATAAGTTACCCGGGCAATTGGTTTATACCAGCCAATCATATGAAAGTCTTTTTATATGATTCGACTTACCGAGTTTTTATACTACTTTGGTAGAATCCATGGTCGCACGTGATACTAGATAACAACTTTAAGAAGGATCCATATTAAAGCATACTTTAGAATAAGTATAGAATGCTTGCATTTTAAAGAATATTAAAGGAAAATGTTGAACTACAATTAATGACCAAATAAATATATTACGTACGTACGTACGTACGCACGTATGTAGCTTTTTTTGTGGGGCTTGGAGTAATAACACTTTTAATTCATGCATATCTTAGAACCCACATGTATTTACCATATTTGTAATAAATTAATTAATGCTGATGCAGTGACGATATATAATGGGGCGTAGCAAAATCAAATAAAAAGAAGTAAAGTCGATTAAAAAGTTTGAATTTTTTCATCTAATAATCAATTGAATAAAGAGATACATACTCGTTAAAGTAAAGTAATAATAAAGTTAATAATATCAGTTTAAGTTAGAAAAAGTAAGATATAATTAGTAATTAAAAGATTTAATTAAAGTTTTATCTAATTTCTTTTAGACTTTGATATGGCTAAAATGCGAAAATCTAAGAAAAAAAATAATGGTAAGAAATAAACTTGTTTTTATAATTAGAATAATTTTTTTTATCATATTATTTATTATTTTATATAATTAGCTCCTAGGTCTCCACTGAGATCAATTGAAGCAAATAATTCATTTGAAGACCTTGCAACGAATGAGGAAGTTACGGCAAGTAAAAGAAAAGGAATTTCAAATCGCACCAACGTGAAAAAGATGAGAGAAAATGAAGAACACCATTTGACCAATAGCGATGATGGTATAATCTTATTTATGTTTTTTACAATCTGCAAATACTAACTTTATTATATAATTTAGAGATAAGTCGGAATATGGGTGATTTGCATTTTCATAATTCTAAAAATATCATACAACAAAGAGAACGAACATCGTCCTCTTTAATTAGAAGCCATTCTCCTGAAGACTTTGATAATCAACAGCCATTGGCATCTAATGCTACTACATCCCTTTTAGTCAAAAATCACTCTCCCGAAAGTGCTTATAGTCAACGATCATCATCACCCAACGTCGACTCATCTCCTTTAACCAAAAACTATTCTTTTGAAGATACTAATGACCAACACTCATCAATATCCAACACAATTAACGACTCCTCATCTTCCTTAATCGGACCATTCAAGAGTGACCTGGAAGTTTGCTTGTATCTTGTACAACATCCTGATCTTATCAATTTAACATTGAATATGATAAAGGCAGGCGGTCAAGGTTCTATTATTACCCAAGCAAAGGCTGACAAGTTCAACATACTTCCGGAAATAGTAAGCTTTGATATACAGTTAAATTAATGTTAATAGATCAATTATTTATTGTTTTATTAAAATAGGATCTCAAAACTCTTTAAATGCATTTAAAATGCCTTTTTTTCCAAACAAGAGTTGTTAATAAACATATTATTGATGCATTAGTAAGATCGTTATTCTCAAACATTCAACAAACTGGTGCATCTGACCGTAATGCGTTACAGAGATGGGTCTTTAGTTGCTACCGTGACTATAATGCATCTTTAAGGAAGGAACTTAGAAACCTAGTTCCCGAATTTATTCGAAAATACAAGTAAGTCTTATAAATGGGCTAGAGACTGAGTAAGGGGACGAAATTGACAATTTTTAAAATTTTTTTTTAAGCTTAGCGCTAATCTAAAGTTGGTTTAAACCCATTTTTTTATTTAATAAACAAATGCTGTTCTATTAATATGTTGTAATGTAATTCTCAAAGTTTTTCTTATAACTTATTTTATAAAAATCAATTTTGCAAAAAACTTTTTTGTCAAATTCTCCCTTTTTTGCAACACCAAGCCTAATAATAGTCAATGTTTATTTAAAATAGAAACTAACTATTGTTCTTTTAGATTGACTAAGACAAGGCAACCTGCACCACAGCAGATTTCAGAATATATAACAGACCACAATTGGACAGCTTTTTTAAAACGCCATATGGATGTTTTAGATATAGAAAAAACATTCAAGAAGCGGCCCGAAAATGTTGTCAAATTTACAAATTTTATACGATCGGCCTTCAACTTATTTGTCAAAGAAAGTCTTTTAGATAAAGACGTAATCAGTGAAGTCAAAGATCTAAATTACATGACAGTTGATATGATCATATTTACGGCTGATGGAAAAGATTCTTTGCAGCAATTAGACCTTAAGTCACTTCTTAAATTGAACTAGTACTAGCACGTTATATTCAAAAATTGGAATGTTAATATTGCGTAATAATTAAGATAATATGAATACTATTGATTGATAGGATAGCTAACATCGCTTAACATTTGCTTAATTTAATATATAAAAACAAAAAATAATAATTTAACTGCTAGTTGTCTTTCAAATCTGTTGCTATAACATTTATATTATTTAAAACAAAACATTAAGTTAATCGCCGCTTTGATTTATGCAAAACTAGTCATCTTGTCACTTTAAAACTAAAAAAAAATCAAGTAATGAAAGTGAAGGAAGTAAGAAATATCATAACATAATAGTAATATCTTAGAAGCTCCTTCCTTAATTTCGTCTTGGCCGTTAAAGAGTCATTTCCCTTAAACTAAAAGCCCCTTGAGCCCCTTGGTGTTGTAAAGTTTAAAAGTGATGATTCTGTCTTTGTAAACAATAAGGAAGGATCTACGGGTTATAAATAGTAAAGTTAAAAACCGATCATAATAAATTCTGACAATAAAACCCTCAACTATAAAGAAACCTTACTAAATCACTAACGTCGCTCTGGCGTGTTGCCTTAACCCATTTCTCTGCATTTGTTAACGAAGCTAAGGTACATTAAATTCATCCCGTAACAATAGAAACGCTCAAGTGAAATTGAATTCTTCATATTAATTATATTCATTAGGTCGCCGTTACACTAGTATACGTATACATTCAACTTTGAACTGTAAATTGATTACTGAGAAATAAAAAACTTGATCACGTGAAAGTAAAGTGACCTAAATAAACATGCTATTTGCATTTTTTGAGTCATTTTAAATTATTTGTACTTAAAAAATGCAATATATTTAGTTATAAATTTGAAAAACTTTAATTTGAGAATACTGAAGTCTAGAACACTTTAGCGTTAGTCTAAAATGTGTAATTTACAAAGTTAATAGTAATAATCAAACTCCGCATCACAAAAAAATCAGTATAAAAGCAAATCATCATTAATTTTTTTTTTCGTCTTTTTTCTTTAAACTTTCACCCTAAATACCATTACTCGAATAATTATAAGTTAAATAATTTCTTTCTAATCATCACTCCTCATTATCTAAAAACATTATAAATAATACAGTATTTCCAAACTTTTTAATCTCTGCTTATAATTAATATTTATAATAGGCAGCTGATATACAAAATGAAAAGAGTGCGAACCAAGAAAGTGACCCAAAAAGTTGGACTAAGAAAACGTATCGCATATAAGAGTTCCCAAACGCGAAGAGAAGGTTTTTTGCAACCATATACATACGATGCTTCACAAAACACAAGAAATAATGCATTGTCAAGTTCAATAAATAATGAGGATTATAGTGGCGAAAGTTTACAAGAAAGTTTTTCAGAAGAAAGTCAGCATGATAATGATTTCGAATGCAGTTTCACTATGGCTTCGGATACTTTGAGTAACGAATCGGATATTTTGAGTAGCGAATCGGATATGTTGAGTAACGAATCAGATATTTTGAGCAGTGAATCGGATATTTTAAGTAGTGAATCAGATATTTTGAGTAGCAGTGACCAGTTAACAATTATGGAAGGAGTCGAACGACAATCGGAAGTAAGAATAGAATCTACACAAACTATAGTAGATAGTGGAATTAATTTTCAACCGTTTTCCGGAGAATATGGCCCATATTTTAAAAATTTTACAGAGATGGCTTTTTTTACTTGGGTTACTAAGCATATGATTAGTAAGTATTATCAATAGAAAGTTTCAATTTTATTTATAATAATTATCTTGAATAATTCGATTTATCTTATTATTAGCAACGAAAGCTTATAAAGACCTTATATGTATTACACAACATCCAAACTTCAGACCTGAGCACATAATCAAAAACATACGGCGATTAAAGTCATTACGCAGCCGACTCCCTCTACAGACAATTAAGTGTCATCAAGTTCTGATTCAAAACATGAAAACACTGTCAACATCGACACCTATCAAAAATGCTTACACAATATCTGTAAATGAGCATATAAAAAGGGTCCTAAGCAATAAAGACTTAAGATCGCAAATGTATTTTGGACCCGGAGTTGAGACAGATACGAAATCCGAGTTCTGGCACGGCAATGTTTGGCAGGAGTCTCCCCTCTTTAGCCAATCCTTAGTACTAATAAATCAAGGTAAAGCCTATAATAAATTCACAAAATAACAGTGTATGTGTATTTGCGACCAATTCCTAAATTATTATAGAATTAGTTTGATTGCGCCAAATCACAACTTTGTTAAATTTATATCCTAGAAAACTTTTATTATTTTTATTAAACCTATTATATTTATTCTCAGATTTATCTTTGTAGTTATAAGCGATATATTTATAAATTTTAAGATTTTTCATTTAAATTTTTAAATAGTAATTTCTTTTGGGTTTGGGATTTATTCAATTTGCTAGCAAATGATTTTTTTATTAACTATATTCATAAACCAATTTTTAGAATTATATTTAATAGATTCTTTCGTTAAATACAAGGACAAAGAAACAAGAATCGGACGAATTATAGCGATAGTTTCAACTCCGGATGGTATTAAATTAAAAATTCAACATCTTTATTTTGGCACCGAATTACCAAGAATTTTTGCAAGTCCATCAAGAGCAGAGCGATCATTGAATGGGGAGTTATGGTTAAGTGAAATAACATACCTGACTGATCCGCTTAATATTATCGAACCAGTTACAGTTTGGCTTCAAGACACTCCGGAGTTACCTAATTATCAATTTTACATGAAAGAAATACTATATAGTCACGATAGTCGGTAGAAAATAAGAGATTGTAATCTGCGGCATCGACATCCAATTGAATATACTCAAATTCCAGCGCCAGCACCTCATAATGTACCTACATTAAAAATAATGTTGGACATTTACTATGACGACTTCGGTACCTTCCGTAATGTTTATCATGCCTTGGGTGGAATTTATGTTCAGTTCTGTAATATGCCTTTCCGGCTAAGGAAACAATTAAAGAATCACTTCGTGTTGGGTTTTGTTCCATTTGGAGGAAAGTTTGACGATGTTATGAAACCGATCATAGATGAAATTAAAATTTTAGAAAAAGGCAAATTGATGAATATTGCGGGTCAACACATATAGATAATAGCCGCTTTGGGTGTCATAACAGCTGATCTTCTTCAGGGCAACGATCTTGCGGATACGAAACGTCATAGTGGAAATCGAGGATGTAGAAGTTGTTTGGTACTTAAGGAACAATTATGTGATCTTACTTTTGATATTAAGCTAAATGGCAGGTAGGGTTAGGCAAATTTTGTAATAATTAATTTACATAACTTACACTAAGACACTTATTGTAACTTACATGTTATTTACATCAAAATTTTAAAATTTACACAAAATTTTCAACCCTAATGCCAGGTATCATCATATTACAAAT